AGTGATTATCTGCAGCCGGAGTTAAATTTATAATATAAGTATATAATTTGCACTTTGTAACCGCTGAAGCGATTTTCGTCCAAGATCCTCATCCAATTGTGGTTTAGCATTTCGTGCTGCCATTCGGAAGGCCCGGGTTCAATATCTGGTACGACCAACATCCAAAAGTTATAGCAAATTAATTAAAAAAAAATTAAGTTAAATTTTCTATTTGCGATCGACAGTTTTGCGGTTTTTTCTGTTCCATTACACTTTGAGGTAAACTTAACTCCTACTAATAGAGGGGCCTACGGTTCCTACTAAGCCGCCTCCGAACGAGTGATGGTTTTTTAAAGAGGCCTGTATTTCAAGTCAGAAATAAACTCGAAGAGATTGACATTTCCTGCCGAGAGACGACCCTAATTAGAGTATTCAGCTTAAATTTAAAAAATTTAAATAAAAAAGTTAAAAAGAATATATAAAAAAAAACTTTAATTAATTTTAAAAATCCAGTATAAAGAAATAAGTTTTTGGAGTTTACTCAATGAATAACGTAAAAATAATAATAGCATTTATTCCTTCTTAGTTTATACTTAATACGTATCCAAATGTTCAAAATTGGTATTATGTACATATGTATGTATAATCCATTGTGTATAGAATAGAAAGATAATAGCAAAATCGTACGAGGTGTAACAATTGAGTAATGAGACTGATTCTTAAAAATCTTATATTTCAAAATTATTATATAACACTGCCATCCCCTTCAAAGTAGTCCCCTTGAGCAGTTATACAACGATTCCAGCGAGTTTTCCATGCTTCGTTCCATTTTTTGAACGCTTCCACAGTGATGTCCGCGAGTACGCTCGATTTTGTTCTAAAGAAAATATGAAGTCACAGTGCGACATATCGGGCGAATAAGGCGGTTGTTGCCATCCGGCGATCCCCTTAGAGGCCAAATTTGACTTATCTGACTGTTTCACGGCGCATACCCAGTTGCGACGCCAACATTCGGACTAAGAGCACTATCACCATGCACTTTCAGAATTTAAGCGTACGTTTCCGAAGCTGTTTCGCCCAATTTGGTGCAAAATTTTGTCGCGACGCGTTGCTCTCGATTTAGTTTTTCCACTTTCGTCACGAGCACCACAAACACACGCTTACTCAACACAACACAGCAGGCGAACTAAACAAGCTAGAGCTATGGCGAATATATCAATGGCGATGAGAAGGATGTTGGCAGAAGGGACAGGGATTTTCAAGGCCGCAGTTTCATTAATTAATTGTCACACCTCGTATGTTTAATGACGAACTTTATCTATGAAATATCATAACATTTCGACTATAAAACTCTAAAGCCTTGCATTGTAATTTTGTAAAATTAACAATTAAAACGTTCGTAATAGTTTTATTTCGAGCAAATGCATTATAATTAAAAAAAATGTAATTATGAGAACTAATGTTATTTTTTAACAAAAATTTCTATAGCTACCAACTTGAACAAGTCCAATAGTTTGTTACTATTGTAGATTAAGATGCATACATAAATATACATGTTTTATGAAAAAATATTAATTTCATCGGGTATCAAGTCTCGCAAACTGTATATATGATGAAGTTGGATCCTTGACGTTAACGATTGTCGTACTTTATTGAACTTTGCATATAACGGGATATACGTTATTTTTAAACTTGAAAAAGCTAGTCATTTACTGTTACTATTGATCTTGTTTGTTTTGTATGTATGTATTTCATACGTGCATGGAGTTGTGCCGTTTTTTTGCAGGGTTTTGATCGCCAACAGCCAAGTAATATCGGCTTCCAACTTCATATTATTTAACTCAAGTTTTTTGGGTCATATGATAAGGGAAAGGTTATAAAGCCACCCAGATTAGCTCGATTTTAAGGTGCCCACTTTAGCGAAAGATTAAAAGAAGTTTCTAGGAAAAATATCTTTCGACGCATGTAAAAATGATTTAGCATCTGTCGTTTTACTGAACTCATGACCCCAGATTAAAAACTATCAGCTGACGTTTCAGACGACGCAGTAAGAGCTGTATTACACCATATAGTTGAAGTGTATTTAGGTTTTTATTTAAAAAAAAAAGCTGACGACTGTTCAGAAAAATTGCACCGCATAAAAGATAACCACCGCTTATCAAATGATTCTCTATTTTAAGCATGTGCTTGAAGAAAAATCATTGGTTTTGGCTTTTAGCCAATGTAGAGACAACCGCCTCCACGAGGCGCGACCACATCAGCTAGTTTATTACCGATATTCGAAATTTGTCCAAAAGAAACAATAACGTAACTGACTAACTAAACTATGTGACTTTGATCAGATGACTGTAGCGCAAGCAAGCAACTCACAAATTCAGATTTTGCTCAACACAGGTCAGAGCAATTCATTGGCGTTAGAAGAAATGCCACTTCCAAGTTCACTAAATAGGATTTTTCGTGATGTATCCCACGAAAAGTACGACAGTATGCGCCGTATAGCTTTCGAAAAGAGGTAATACATAAGCTACACAACTTTTCGCACCCGAAGGTGGAAGGACATACAAAGAATCCCCTCGGAAGTTACACCTAAGATAACGGCCGATTCCATCACATTAATGTTGATAATATGACCGCTAAAAACATCAAATGGATTTCGCTATCAGCTTATTCAAAGACTTACTGTCTGAAACTTCATTCTTCTGTGCTGTCAAAGGCAGCTATAAAATTGATGAATCCTTTTTTGCTTTTGTTTCAATATCAGTGCATTGAAAACTGTTCGCCACATAGCACCAAAGCTTTTGCTTAAATTTTTTTGAGTTTTAAAACTTTTTATTTAATTTTGCTTGTAATATAATTTTTGCTTATAATATCGTTTATCTATTTACTTATTTATTTTGTACCTAAACCTAATTGTTCTATTAATGGGGAATCTGAGCGCTTTGTCGCTTGCTGGCTTGTCGGTGGTCGTGTCTATCATGTAGATCGATTGAAGTTGATTTATTTAAACTGTTTCCCTAGACAAGTAATGGGTTTAGTGAAATAGGTCGGGAGCTGGACACAGTTCAAACACTATGAGAGTGTTTCCAGTCTTTCAAGTGTTTGGACTAATCTTAAGAAGATGCTAAACGTACTTCTAAACGCAAAAGAGTTACGTGTTGACTAGAATCACTCTTCTCAAAAAAGAATCTCTTCGCAACCTGTCGTGATCTTGTCCCCATATAGAGAAACTTTCTACATCTAATGGGCAGACTAATGCTCACTTAAACTTTCCTGAGCCTCAATATGGTACTGATCTGGCTGATCCACCACCAGTAGCCACTTTGAAAAACTAGTTGTTGTCCCCCCCCCCAAAAAAAAACAGTTTTTATTGCTGGATTTGCTAAGGATACCACCAGCGAAGAGGTCAGTCAGTCTTACATCACTCAAAAAATTATTAAAACTACTGATGTAATAGTGAGAAAGTTTAATTTATAATATGAAAAAAAATATTTCTTCGTTCAAAGTCGATATTTCATTTGAATGGTTTAATAACTTCTTGGTAGTACATTCTGGCTTTCCGGAGTATTTGTATGAGAGGCAATAAGCTTAATGAAGAAAATACTCCAATAGACTAATAGTTCTCTGATGTTTCAAGGGCAACAACACAGTACGAAGTGTGACAATTAAGTAATGAGACAGATGCTTAAAAATCGTATATTTCAAAATTATTCTACAACTTCAAAGGCAGTTATACAATGATTGCAGCGCGTTTTCCATGCTTCATAACATTTCTGGAACGCTTCGACTCGGATGTCCGCGGTACCCTCGTCACGGCCGCCTGGATGTCCTCAATCGACTCAAAATGGGTTCTTTGGCCACCGAAAAAAAAAAAGTCACAGGGTGCCAGGCCAAATACTGGCACTCGCTGAGGGCGGTGTGGCACGGCGCGTTGTCATGTTGAAAGATCCAGTTACGATCGATGTCTGGGCCCACCCTGTTGAATCGTTTTCGCAATCTTTGGAGTACATGGCGATAGTGGGCTTGATTTACGGTTTTCCCCGGTATAAATTCTTTGTGGACGAATCCACGGCTATGAAAAAAGGTCACAGGGTTACCACAATCGCAGCAATATAATCAGTCTCGTTACTTTATTGTCACACCTAGTACATATTAAAATCACTATTTTTTTAATTAAATTTTTTGCGATGTTCATTCATATGTCTAAGAATATGCAAAATTTTACAACAAAGTTTTGTCATCACAGAAAAAGCAAAAGAAAAGAACGGTATGCTAGACGTTGTAGGGAATTTCCGCCTCGTCTCTCCGATGGCCGTGACATATAGAATTGCGCCAAAAATGCTAAAACATACCTTTGAAATTAGAAAACGGGCGAACACTGATTCATTTTCGTTTTCTTTTACCTTGGCGTTCAGTGCTATAAGATTTGGAAAGTGAAATCCTCTTTCGATAAATACATCATCGCTCTTCATTTTCGTCTTACTTTATTGTGCATAAATATTCAACGTTCACACCAGCGAATACGATGAAACGGAATATGGGGACTTTGACTTAGTTATGCCATTCGTCCAGAGCAACGAAATTATTACCAAAATCGATAAAAACATAAACGTGATCTTTAGTACAAACGTATATTAAATCTTTTATTTTAATTTGTCTAGGTTAAGGATATAACCAGTATGCACTTTTGCGTATGTATTTAAGTGAATATGTCATTTACAGTGTAAACTCATATAAAAATTGTTTCTTTTCTTAAAATTTGTATATTGGTAGCCATATAATTATTATTTTTAATATTAATTCGAAGACTTATTTTTTTCTTGAAATTTCTTGACAATCATTATTCTTTAAATTTTCTTTGTTTGTATATTATTATTCTCTTTTATTAAAAACTTTATATATTTTTCAGCTGCTTCAAAAATATTGGGCCCTGGGTTTCTTCCAAAAGTGAGGTGTTAAATTTTAAACTTTTTTCGTTATCTTCCTTAAAAATATTATTCTAGAATTGTTATAAAGTATAACAGAATAAGTATTCGAGAAAAGGTAAGCATCTTTTCGTACAAATTTAAAATTGAAATATGTACTGGTTTAAACACATTTGCGTATTAAATTGTAATATCCTACAATATGCACATATGTACATATATATCGGAATTCAGATGAATAGAACAAAATTAAAGGAAGTCCCTTCCCAAATAACTTTCGTTTTAATTGAAACTTGTATGCATGTAGTTGTATTTGTATTTGGAATTAAAGTTTACTTATTAGAGCATACATATATATGTATGCTTTATTAACTTATTAAGCAGTCTATCAAAATAGTAATTTTTTAATTTTTCATCAATTGTATTTTCGCAAAACGTCAAGATTTTTCATGAAAGACTTCCTCGTTGATGGAATTTGCGCATTTTATTTAAAAAAACACATTTTAGACGAGAAATTATTTTTCAATAAAAATAGATATTCAAACCGAATATTCAGTTTTAACTCTCTATTCATGATCACTGAGTTATGATCTTAGTTGTTTAGTTAGTGGTACTACATATTGCCTGAAAAACACAGTTATATCCACATATCGAAAAGTGTGTTCCAGTTTGACTCCGACAAAATATTAATACATCAGCAAAATACCCGCAAATATCAAATCTTAGATATCTATTCTCTTCCTACTATTAGTAGTTACAAGCCTCGAACAAATATTATGTATGTATGTACGTAATACTTTTTAATGTTCATGTAAAATACACACTTGCTTGCTTAGACAAATAAGCCCTCTTTTAAGTAATTTTATAATAATAAGCATGTATATATATTTTTATATTAGATACATTTTTGAGGCTCTTAAATTTTAACATAAATTAAACTAAATATTTATTGGCTAGGTTAATATAATATATATTAATTAATGTTGCTTCACATTAAACGCCAACTTAAGACCAGTGTTTGCGTTTATGTATGTAAATATGTACATACATATATACATACATGTCAACATGCACATTCGCATGTATATATGTATGTATATAAATATTATTTCAGATCGTAAATAATACTTTTGGCAAAATCCTTGCTAATAAAAATTTCCAACTAAACATTAACTTCTAAAATTCCGTGCATATATGCGTAGCATATAAGTGTAAAAATGTATGTATGGATGTATGAAAATCCTGTACCAACGGATCTGTCTTATAGTCTAATGTAGCGCACTTTATATCATTGCAGCATCAAATACAATTTTGTAACAGTCTTTAAATGATTTTGAGAGTAGTTTACCGTCTCGTATGTTTTAGGTTATGTTGCCTTAGCGAATTGTATAACCGAACTTATTCGCATTACTTTCGAACTGCTTTCATTATTGACATCAGTAGATCCTTCGACGACAGCGTCCCTTAAACCATGATTTGATTCGTTGTTTACGGCGGCTATTATATCGGGATGACTCATTGTCTTATCAAATTCACGTGGAGAAACATTCATAGCTCCTGAGTCCATTGGCGATCCTTCGTGCATGTAAAGCTTGCGTTTGCGCAACGGTAATGTCATTACATCACGGTCGGCCATCATCATAGAATCACTTTCGGGTGATGAAGAGCGTTCCGGCGATTCAGTTGAAGAGCGCAATGGCGCTATTGCCGCTTCTACCTGGCGTACAATCTGGTTATTGAGGAGGGAAGATCTGTGAAAAGAGATATACGCAATTGAAAATATTCATCTATAACTATATTTTTTTAACCTTGAAAAAAATATTATTACCAATTATTTAAATAACAAATAATTTATTTACCACAGCAAGTTAACCTTAAAGGTGCCGTCAGACATAGTAATTAATTAATCGGGCAAAAATTCTAAATTTCGAAATTTAATTTCAAGAGCAATCACATCTTATTTCCCAACAATTTGTCAAAAATCTTATTTGACAATATGCAAATCGTTTAATCGTTCAGTTTCAAGGTGGTCATACATATGCACATCAAAACTAAAATTTTTTGACAGCAAAATGTGTAAAGGAAATAAAAATTCCGTGTAACAATTTACGTTTGACGGCACCTAAGTTGGGTTAATATCAGCTGCATCTGTTAACATACATACATATGTATGTATATGTTGTATTGTATGTAAGTAAATGGATGAGTTCCAAAACGACAGTTGCATTTGTGCAAAATTCCAAAATGCATAGGTAAAGTTATTGATGCGAAAACAAAAGCAAACTGCGCATCGCTTAGGATTGTGATTTTTAACTTCAACATAAATTCTTAACAACAACGGCCGACGTCGGAGGGCAAGTTTTTTGCAGTAATTATTATTTTTTAAACATTATATAACTTATTTTTCTGATCTGTTTTGTATTTTAGCCATTTCAACGAAAAGCAACTTATTTGCACGTTGCAAAATGTTAGAGTTTGCAAAATATTGTTGCAAGGCAAATTTATAGAATGCAGAGTTTCGCAACCGCATCCTTACAAAGTATTTTGATGCTTTTGAACTCGCCCAATTTCACTATTACTTTATATTATGTATTTAATGTCGGAAATACACTCGGAAAGGTTGACATTCGCTGCTGAGGGACGACCGCAATACGAAAATTTAGCTTAATTTTTTATTTAAATTAATTTTCTATAACTTTTTTGATGTTAGTACGATACCAGGATTTGAACCCGAGCCTTCTGAATGGCAGCACACAATGCTAACCACTCAGCTACCGCGGCCGCCAAAAAAAAGTATAATCGAAACAAAAAATGCCAACTGAAAAAGGGTAGCATTAAATTTTAAACAATTTTTTATATTTCACAAAAATAGCGCTTCATTATCTTGGCAATTAATATAATTAAATTTAATTTAAAGAAATCCAAATATTTTTATATTTGAGTTTTCATTTTCATTTACTACTTACTCGTATTTGGGTACTGGTGCGTATCCTTTGTGCAGACCATGTCGTGCAAGCTCACCACGCTTGTAGTGTTCAATCAATTCATTTGCTTCTCGAGTATCATCGTATTGGGACAGATCGTGGCCAATCGGCTGGTCCATTGAATATGATGATGTTGACAGAGGAGACAAAATTGAAGTCGAGGCTTCGATAGCATAAGCAGGATCGTTTAATTGTTGTTGATTTTGGTATTCATTGCGTTTGTGTTGTTGTTGGGATTTGATTTGTTGCTCAGAAATGCTTGATGATTTTATGTATGCATTTTTGAGTATAGCTTCTTCACACTGCGCATCGAGCATATCCCTCCGCCTTACAATAGATGCTGCTTCGAGTAAAGCTGGATTGATGGTGGGCGGCTCATGAACTGACTGATCTAAATCCATATGTTGATGTTTCGGATGGTGCTGGCTATAGAATGATGGAACAGTCTGCTGTTGATAACCCAATGCATTCTGCTGCTGATTGTGTTGGAAAACTTTTGTAGCTGTAGGTGGCTGCGAATTCTGCACTATAGGCTGCTTGCTAAGATCGGTTGGTAGATCTTCTATTATATAAGTAAAAGATTGATTTGTACGATTATCATTTAGGTTAATTGAAGCTAAAGAGAGTGCCAATTGACGATTAGTGTTGCAGCTTGTTGCTCCATTATGATGGCTAAGATGGTCAATTTCCATAGTTTGTGTTCTTTGTGGCGATGTGGTCAAAGGTTCGGGAGAACTAGCCGAGAGACGCGATGCAGAAGCAAGGGATGAACTTGGTGATAAAGTAGATTGTGCTGAGCTGGGCGATGGAGGATTCGGTAAGTCCGAAGCAATACGAGATTTAGTAATCGTGACATTTGCGCTTACTGGTGACAGCGGCGATCCAGGTGCAGGTGACCCTTCTCCACCAGAACTACTTGACATTGAGTTATTCACATGTCCACTACTTTCAGTAGTCGTCGTGCCACTCACATTTTGATCCTCCTCTTCATCGGGCAATTCTTTAGCATGACCTTTAATATGTGCTTCCATCTCTTTTTTGCTTTTAAATGTTTTGTCGCAAATAGTGCATTTATAACATTTAGAGCCATAATGTTGTACTCGATGTAGTTTAAGTACATGATTGTAACCGAAATCGCGGAAGCATATATCGCAGTGGTATGGTTTTTCGCCTGTGTGAGTACGTGAATGTACTTTCAGCTGTTTTGAACAGGTAAAACCTTTGCCACAACCCTCTACTGGACATTTATATGGTTTTTCTCCAGTGTGTGTGCGCATATGTATTACTAATTGTCCGGATTGTATGAAAGTTTTCTCGCAGACGGAGCATTTATGTGGGCGTTCGCCAGTGTGGATGCGCATGTGCCGATGTAGTTTTCCAGAGTGTTCAAAAGCGCGCTCGCAAACATCACATTTGTACGGTCGTTCTTTGGTATGTATGCGACGGTGGACCTGTAAGTTCTCCTTCACACTGAACAATTTATGGCAGAATTCACATTCAAAGGGTCTTTCACCAGTATGCGTGCGATAATGACGGATCTAAAATAAAAACAGCATGTTAGTTGAATAAAAACTCTTATTTGTCAGTAATTAATATTAACCCACCAGTCTTGCGGGTACCGCAAAAGTTTTTTTGCAAACATTACATTGATACGGATCGCCACCAGCAACACCAGATGTATTGGTGAGCTTCGGAATATCGGTTGGCATAGTTATTTCACTAACCTCCGCCAATTTCACCGCTCCTAAGCCCATACTACCAACTACATCATTGCCTTTCGCATGTGATTTGGTATGAGATGTATGAGCCGATTTACTACCAAAGGTCATTCCGCACTGTACGCATTTGAATTGTGGCTTATTCACGGCTGCTTTCCGACTTATTGTCATTGCACTGGAAGTACCAGTGTTTAATGGCATGGTTGTGACTACGGTGGTATCACCTTTTTCCGCAGGTATCATTGTTCCAAATATCCCCATATTGGGTTCTGCTTTTATATTGGTTGGTAAATTTATATTTGAAGTAGTAATATGTGTGTTGTTAAATGGGGCAATGCTTGTATGAGGTAATTGTGTTGATAAGTGCTGTGCTTGTTGACGATGGTCCATCATTAAGACATTGCTACTGCTGCTATGCGCATGCGGAGTTGTTTGCGGTTGTATTTCGATGTTTGGTTCTGATGTCGCAGAATCTGTTGATGTTGTTTGCAAGGGAATGCAATATTGATCTTGGCTAGTATGCTCAGTTTTTATCACCATTTGTGTGGATTGGTAGTATACCATTTTCTGTGGTATCTCTGAAAGAAATCGAAATTTGAAAGACTAATTAAAAAAACATTTCAAATATTTCTTAAGCTTTAGAAAACTAAAATATTGCGCATAAACATTGGAAAATAGCGTCTATTTTCTGTAGTTGGCGCTCAGAATCAACATTCTAAGGCAATCGAGTTTAATAAACAAACTTCCAACTCTAAATGACTGTAGCATAAGCAATTAAAATTGCTAGACGTAGTTCTGGGGAAAATTCTGAACTAGACTGCCAATACAAGTAGTAGATATAAAAGGTCTTCATTATCTTATTCTATGTAATGCACTCAACACCCCCTGCGTCTAAGAGAGCTCCAACATTAATCAAAGGTTTGGACACTCGTGTTATTAGCGAGAAGGGAAGCATGGAAATATAATTTACTACATCCGTGAGTAGTAAGATGCCTATATACGGTTAAAACGAGACACGATGCATGGAAACACCCCTTCTTTAACGCTCTTTCAGAAAACTGATCTATTTCAAGGTGAAAGGTAGCTAGGCATATGGAATGAAGGAGGTCACACGAAATGTGCTCTCTGAAAAGAAAGAGCACGACACAGTAAGCGGCAATGCTGGGAGTTCATTTCAGCAGAACAAAGATAAACAGAATATGATAAGGAATGAAAAATGAGAGATCGTCTTTTCTACGACTGCCCGGCCTTAGGTAGAGCTAAGATTAGATGTCTCAGCGCCGTCTTTGTGGGTACTCTGCGTAAGATAGAAGACATCAAAGGTAAATTACCCAAAGAAAATAATAAATCAATATCGTGGTATCCCAATAGTTCTACTGCGTCCTAAGGGTATTGCTGATGCCCTCCCATCTTTAGCTACTCCTACTCACCACTCACTCGAATGCCAACATCTTAATGGTTTCCTAAATTCTTTTGCTACATTCGTCTGAGAAAACTACAATAACATGCTATAATTTTATTATCACCCAATGGGTAAATATTCTAATCATTCCCATTTAATTTATTTGCTAAGTTTGTATTCTGAAATTGTGACGTAGATACTTGAATAAAAACTACCTGGGGTTCTATCATTTCCAGGATTAATTACAAGCCTTGGATCTCGCCTCGATTTACTCTTGAAGGCATACATAAATAACCAAGCTTCACATAATCTTTTTACAGAAAATTTAGTCTTATTTCTAGTTAAGAAATATTTTCTGTAGATGTTGTTGAAATACCTCGTATATTTGTTTGAGTTAAGTGTGAAATATAGTGAAAAATACCGATAATAAAAATATTTGAGGATCAAGGATAAAAAGAAAGTGACTTACTTCAATATCGTGTAGTTTGCACTTTTATTTTCTTCCTGATCAAATGCTTATAAATTCAAACATATCACATTTGTTTGTATGTATATGTGTACGTATGTATATACATATACTACTCAATAGTTGGGCATCTACTATTGTAAGTGCGAATATGCAGTAATAATGTATGTATTGATGCAATAACGACATTGCCACCATCAACAATATCCAAATGAAACCTAGGTTTGCAACGCCACTACAACCGACTCCATAAACAATGAGGAAATTTTGTAACCTACACACAAACATACGTCCAAATAAATATATATATATCTGTATGTAGGAATAAGAAACTACGGTTGTTAAGTTGGAAAATGTATCTTAAGCATACGCACATAAACAACAGAAAAATCCTCCCTTAAAAGAATGAATCCATAAAAACACCCTCTTGCAACCTGCGGCTCGCGAGTGGATCGGTAGTAGCAGTAAATTTCACTTTTAGAAAGCTCCTAAAGCTTAGCTTTTCTGTATTATAAGTGAAAGTTAGTGAAAAATATTTGCCTCGTTCAAAGTGGGTTCCATCAAGAAAGTGCGCAAAAGTAAAAAGTCACCACTATTAAATTATGTATGTGCATATGTATGTATGTATGCATGTAAAAATGAACGTAAACACTGGAATATTTGTCATTAGATGGTGTGAGAATTTTCTTTATGCCGGTGAGTTTATACCAAAAAGCTTACTTCTGTTAGTAAATAAATGCAACTTTCGCTTGTTCTTACTTAGTATATATGTAAGAATGTACTAAGTATATGCCTGAGTATGTATATATACATATATGCATGAAAATAAATGCGTAATATAGATTGCACCCTTCACATAGTAAGTTCTAGCACCGCATAAACCGGCTTTTAATACAAGTTCTTTTAAGCTTTCACATCTACATAAGTATGTACATAAGTCTAAACATACATATTATATGCACATACATATGTATTTATATTGTACGCAGGTATGTACATTCGATTGAAGAAATACGAAAAAAAATTGACTTTATGAACGCACCTTTAGCAGGATCAGCAACAGAGGCCGCGACTTCTGTATTCGTTTTTCTTCCAGCCCTTTTGCGTTCAAGACTTTTAATGTCATTTTGTAATTTTTTTGGTGTTACCTCAATCTCCATAAGTTCTGTGCCGGATTTGCAGAGCACATTTCTTATCCAATTTTGTTTTGATCGCCAATTATTGCTATTAACGTTGCGTTGTGACATTTTTGCTTTGAATTAGTTAATACTTGAGAATTTGCAGATGTTCATCTTCATAAAAGTTATGACAATGTCTTTTTGTAATTGATAAATTTTGTATTTGCTGATTCGATGTTTCAAACCAACAGACGCAGTCTTTAAATCAGTCATTGGTGGATGAGTAATGTTTAAATCAGTCATTAATATTCTCTTCATCAGTCTAAGTGCAGTGCCGAGGTAGTTAATTGCGAAGAAATTTCAGAAGTAGTATTCAAATAATTGGATTTTTGGATTATTGTGTTGCATGCATCTTTTTATATTGGTTTAATTTTTTTCTAATTACCAAGATTGTTATTCGACATTTCCTTCTTATTTCAATCAATTATCAATAGTAGGTATATAAAATTTTTATTGTGCATTATATTGAATTTTTATTTTTATTTTTTTTTTCATTTTTTTATTATTATATTGTTATATTTTCTTGAAATTCCCAAACAATTGGTGGACAAATTATTAAACCTGTTCCACTTTAACTTTCATTATCTTTCCATATATCAAATTTAGTCCAATAATATTATAAAAATATTTTTTTCTTTTCATGCCATATGAGGCTATGACACTCAGAGTTTTCCGCACTACCATTCACATGTCTTAATATTTTATTTTCTTTCCCGCGAATGGCAAGTTCAACGTTAGATAGCGTACCTCAGACTGGTGGGTGAGTAGCCGAAAATTATGCTTCCTACCACTCTGCAATGAGTATGAATTGCTGCCACCACCATCATCTGCATCATACATACATATGTATGTATATACATTTGTTGATAATAGTGCGTACATGATTGCGTGTATGCTTATACTCGCGTATTTATGTACAAAGCTACTACATAGTATAGTGCGCAATAAAAACGACGGGACGCGTACGCAATGTAAATCAAGAACTTCCCCAAAATCATAAGTATTAATGAAAAAAACAATCCCAACATATTTAAAATTACAATAGATAAAGCTACGCACTTTTCGTTTCCAACATAATTTTTGTGAGCTAGCGCTGTTACATACAATCATACATATATCCATTGTTATAAAAATATGCTTACCTATGCTCATTTCAATCGTATTTATGTACATATTTAAGTGTACATATGTACATACATTCGACAGAGCACCACTACATTGGGCGTGAGTGAAGTTCTAACAAGCTATTTTTATGATTGAGAAATGAGTGTAAGCGCTCAACTGCTCAACTGCAAAGCTTTCTCTGTTAGGATGAAGATACTAGCAGAGCACTCATATGAGTGGTTTGACTTTCCGATCATAGTCAACACACATATGTACATATACATATGTATGTATGTATGTACAAATATAAATTCTGTTAGTTGATCAGGTTATTTCATTGGCATGGTCACATTCTACGACTATGTGTGTGCATATTCATACAATATATGTATGAAGTACCTAAATGTGCTTGTTACCGGACAATTCTTTTATTTTTTTATTTTTTAAATTCATACTCAATTTACTTTCATACTAATTATTATGTCCAAATATTTAATAACAAATTTAGATTTTTAATTAATTTGAGATCGTCTAAGTATGGCAATTTTTATAAATTTAACAGACATTTTAATTTTAATAGAATTTCCTTCACAAAAAATGAAATAAATTTGTAAGTCATTTTTGATTTATTGCAAACGTCAGTCTTCGTACTGGTTCTAAAGGTAGTGAAGTAGTTTCTCGCAATTAGATTTCCAGAGACGGAGGAGATCCTCCCTACACCTCAAAAATAATATATCCCTAAAGGCGGGAAACAGTACCTCACCAAGGCCTTCGAGAAAGTGATGTAGATCCAAACCGCCTCTTAATGCCTGGGTTAATTTTCAAAAGGATAGGAATAAGCTCCTCATCTATCTCATCCATATTCCCCTGTGACAGTATGGATATACAACGTTGTAGCACAGTGTTAAATGGTTGAGGAATTTTAAAATAAAAACAATTGCTTTTTTTTTTTTTTTTTTGATTATGCTAAAGGTAGTACTTTTTACGAAAATATTTCTATAAATATGCTTTCTTCCATTAAATATTATATTGTGGACATAATTGGTAAGGAACTCTGGGTCGGGATACTTAGGGGTTCTGTAAATACTACAATACTACTCTCTTTATTATGAAGTCGTTTTTCCCGCAAGCTTATTTATTATAGGGATGCCTGTACGCTTGAAGCAATATTTTTTTCGTACATTTTTATATTGAAAATAAGCCTGATTTTCATTCCACTTTTCCATAGTAAATTCTTTTATACATAGACGATGAGAAAAGTATATAAAAAAAGAGATTTGTTAAAAAGTTATAAATTAATTCCTGCTTTGAATGCATTTATTTTTGATACAAAATCAATAACAATTTTCTTATTCATGATAAAAAGCCTTTACACTGCCTCGTTACTAATGGTGTCCCTTCGCTAGCACATTTACACTACATTCAAACATATATAGGTATATGTGGTAACACTGCGACCTTGAAATTCCCTGTCCCTTATCCCAGCATCCTTCTCCTCTCCATTGATATATTTGAAATCGCTCACGACAATGCGCAGTGCCACATCGCCCTCGCGTGTCACAGTATTTGGCCTGTAGAACAAAATCGAGTATACTCGCGGACATATCAGCCGATGCGTTCCAGAAATGTTACGAAGCATGGATAAACGCTGGCCAAGGAGACTACTTTGCAGGGGATGGCAGAGTTGTAGAATAATTTTGAAATATACGGTTTTTATGGAATAAGTCTCGTTACTTAATTGTCACATCTCGTATGTACATAAATGCATGTGTTTTTTTTTTTTTTTGGAAAATGGTGCACTGAGTGCTCTAAATGAAAAAATACTAAAACAATTTGAAAATTCATTTAAAATTCAACAATGCGTCTTAATATTTAAAAGTGGTATAAACCAATAACATTATGTACATATTTGCGGTATTAATTTGGTTGCTTTGCACCTTGTTATAATATAAAAAATAATATTTCTCATTGAAAACTTAAAAAAAAAATTTTTGTTCATGGAACCATATAAACAACAAAATGGTATTACTTCAAAAAACTTGCCGATCATACTACACCAAATTATGTCCCATAATCCCTCATAATTCCCGATCTTCTAAATGGTGAAGTAGTGATGATGATGTCAACATCAGATAAGTCAATCCTGGGAGTTTTCGGGAGAAAGGTTCTATGGAAGAAACAGTGGCAACGCTGACTAGAATAATCCGACTTTGAAAGTATTTGGGGCAGTACCCCAAGTGGAAAAGAAAATCCCCATTCCGTTGGAAGAATGAAATGGAAAGCGAAAAGAAGATAAATGGCTTTGCTAGTGAAAAAGAAAAAACAGACACTTTCGAAACGTGGAGTTACCAATCGCGAAAAAAGTGTATTTTCGCCCCGAAAGTAGGAGCTCCCTTGCTCAATTCAAAAAGAAAGAATTGTCAGACCACTGAAACATGAAAACTGCGGCTAATTAAAAGCTTTGAAACTATGCACTCACTTTTATAAAATATTAAAATCCCAACATTAATCAACATTTGACCATAAATGTGTGCCCCCTAATTATGTATATATATATATATATATAAAACTTATGGACATAGCTTCTCAAAATCGTTCTAAGCCGAAAAATTCATAAAGTTTTGTTCAGAGGAAACCATCACACATTACCGCAATAGGATATTGGACTGAGTACTTCATGGTGTGCATATTCCCAAAAAATTTAGGGAACTACAGATTTCTACTAAGTCGCCTTTGAACGGTTGATGGATTGTTATGAGGCGCTTTTTTATTTCATATCGGAAATACACTTGGAGGGGTTAACATCACTTGAAGATGCATATTAAAATTTGGAAGGAATCTTGGGCATACATGATCGAGTGACTTACTTATATGTACATACATATGTATGTGTATGATCTTTTCTTCTGCAGGCGGCGTATCGCGTGGTATTATGTTATGAATTTTAAAGCACAAATAACACACATCTTTGGAATTAAAGAAATGTCATAAAGCAGAAACATGTGTGCTACATACATATATACCTAAGTATGTATATATGTATATGCATTTATTAAATATGTATGTCAGTACATTAAAAGCAGATATAAGCTCGCGGTTCACTTCCTCTCTAAAATATTTAAACATTCATGCAGACCTAACGGGTATTTTTGTATTCACTTTTTCCTACGTATAAATGTAGTAACAAAAAGTAGCACAAAAGTTCAATAACATTTCACTATATAAAAGAATTAAAAGCACAGAATAAAAATTAAGAGAATCGAAAAGAAAATGAAAAATGGTAAAGCCACGTTGAGAGGGGGACAACTAAATTCTCGATGGCCGGACTGCCATTGTGTTCATACTACATACAAATGTGTATGTACATATGTACATATGTACATGTGTATATTCCTCAAGAAGATGCGTACTCACTTTTATATGTATAATATATTATAAATATATACATTTGTTTAAATATGTATATATACGTGTCTGTATACTATAATGTGAATGTGCTAAAGAAATATTGGGGCTTGCAAGTTCATTGGCATACAAGCTTTAGTGCTTGTTACACTTAAATATGTATATACATACATATATATGTGTGTGTGTATGTATGTGTTTATGAGCTCAATCTATACAAGTGTATGTAAATTGTAGTTTGCTTTTGTTCACGTATCGATCATGCTCTTTTATAGCATAAAGCTTCTACCTGTGATCTACAGTCAAAACGTTACGTTACCGTTATTTTGTTGAGATAGCCCAGCAATCGACTGACATATAATTATAGTACGTATGTACATATGTACACATGCACGTGTGTATTTAGTTTTTAGAAGATTTGATTCTATTTTTGTACTTTTAATACAAATTATATATTATTTATACATAGTATATCGATGAAAAGCGTTATTTTGTATTATACGAGCCGATATTACTCAAATTTTGTTTCAATATACCAACATATGAAATGAATGTACATACATATGTATGTATGTACTTACAAACAGAATGAGTGAAATAAAAGAAGTTTTCACGTATGTTACAGAGAATGAGAAAGCAAAAGTTATAAACATAAACAAACATATGTATAATTTACATATATATGTACATACTTACATATGGATATACAATATTTAGTGGGATATGCCCAAATATTTTGGTTATGTACTGTGACCCTCCAACGATGGAAGTATTGACTGGAAGTCTTGTAAACTTGCGTAAATACCAACATATGTATATATGTATATATATGTATTCATACAAATACAAGCTTGTCGTCATTATCACCACCATGAACTTTGTTCAACAAGGGTCAATGAACACTTGTATAATTTAGTAACAGCATACGAATGAAGCATGTATATAAATATATTGTATATGTATCTACAAGCTCGTGAGCTTTTTTCTATTTTGGAAGTTGCTATCCATACACATATACGTACATACATACAGAGGTATTTGAATATCTATTGTATGTATGTTTTTTAAATGTTTTATTTGTGCGGTTTTACGCCCAGTTGAATTTCGGTCTGAATACTTTCAGATAATACCGACAAGGATTGATAAAAATGGGTATCTGGTAACCGGAAAAGTGATTTTCTAAAAAAAAATTGCGATTTATTTAGTTTACGCCGGGTTGCCTGACATACATTCATATGTACAAACTCTTACCCGCACATATTATTATGTATTTATGTATGTAGATGCAATAGCCTAAACAGCCGGTTCCCAAATAGTCGGTATTTCCCTATTCTAATATTTCTTACTTGTACTTTAAGACACAGCTTTAGAGTATAGCACAAAAAGCAAAGGAAGAGTAGACAGAATAGATACATACGTGTACGCTGCGCCTTATCTAATAAAGGGAAGTTTCAGAATAACCTGTAAGAGGGTGGGGATTTCGCAGAAATATGCAGTCTACCAGCGTAACAAAC